CAGAGAAACCTTGGCTGCAGTAGCAAGCCAGAAATTTATTTTAATAGATGCTTCAGTGGAGAGATGAGGTCACTTGGAAAAGTAAGTCAATGATCAGGTGTCCTCTGCAAGACTGAGGTCTTCACTGTCTAGACCAGGGGTAGTCAACCTTGGCTCTTTTATGACTCGTGGACTTCAACTCCCAGAATTCCTGAGTCAGCTATGCTGACTCAGGAATTCTGGGAGTTGAAGTCCACGAGTCATAAAAGAGCCAAGGTTGACTACCCCTGGTCTAGATTATCCCTCTTCATATCTATCAGTCCTCAATAAAAATTAAAGGGAAGGAGTTCAAGACAAGATATTGTAGGTGGAACTATATGTAAGATTCTGAAATGTGCATGTTTCAGAAAAGATGTCAACAAGAAGGAAAACAAAATGATTATTAAAATAACAATACATGCCAAGCAAAATAGAGACTATTTTGTTGAGAAACATTAAAAAGTAGTAATAAATATGGATTGAGCAATATATGTTTGAGAACTGTAGAACTTTTTCATACTTATTTAGCTCTTTATTGATGGTTCTTATAATCCACTATCTCTTTTTATAATGATTACTAATGTCAATAATAATGAGAGAGAGGGGGGAGGGAGGGAGGGAGGGAGGGAGAGAGAGAGAGAGAGAGAGAGAGAGAGAGAGAGAGAGAGAGAGAGAGAGAGAGAGAGAGAGAGAGAGAGAGAGAGAATGCACATCAAATTCTGTTCTACTGTGTGATGAAGATTTTGTTTTCCTTTCTTTTTTTCCCTGGAGCTTTTTTTTTCTTATGCAACTTTATTGGAAGTATGATGTTAAGCAGGTAAATCTGTAGCATTAGTTCATGTATGATATCTCCAATGGGCCCTTGTGTTATTTGTCCTCAAGCGATGCACCTCTTTAAAATGCCTTTTCTCCTTAGATCCCTCATTTTCCTTCGGATTCTGATCTGCTTTTGAGAGCTGTGAGGATGTACCGTGATTTTCTCACCTGGCCTGTGCCATACTGCAACATCTGTCAGGAATTACTTAACTTTATCAACAATGAGCTCAAAGCCCCAGGTAGGAATCTTCAGGAATTTTTGGGGAGACTGATTGAGCTAAGCACCCTGCCCTGGAAAGACAGCTGCTGGACAACAACATGGCAGTTTTAACCATGTTGATACATTTAGATTTCCTAATCATGGATATTTGACCAATTAAATTGAATAAACAGAAAGCATGAAAGTGTCATTGTCACAAATTTAGTTTTAGTCAATTTGGAAGCTGCCAAAAAGGACCTCTGTTAGAACTGTCTTCAGCAGGAATAACATTTTTAAAGAATGTTGTTCCCCCACTCTCCCTTGGCTTGGCTACCTAACCAGACAGGGGCTAATTTTATTTATCTGTTTATACAATTTATAGACCACACAATGTACAAGTAAAGGTAAACAAAAGTTACAAAAAAAACGAGTGACCTAAAAATCAACATATAACTCTTCCCCACAGAATCTATACAGCAGGGGCTCAACTTCCACTTGTCCAAAGATGCAAATAATAGCTGGGTCTTTAATAACTTTCTGAACACCATCAGAATGGGAGCCACCCAGAATCTCGTAAACCTATTGGCTATTCCTTCTAAGTCCTCTTCCCAGTCATTCCCATCCTACTTTCTCAGGATTGTGAAAAGCATATTGTCCCTCTCTCATTTCAAATTGATTCTTGCACGAGCTTTGCAAAGTTGAAGCTTTTTGGCGGGAATTTTGTTTTTCTCTGGACGTCTCAGTCTAGCCTATAGCTCTGGATTCCCTAATGTTTTTTGACAACATAGTAAGCAAGACAGACTTTGCTTAGCTTTTCAAGACAGTCTAGGTCATGGTGCATGTGGGTATGTATTAAAATTGACAGACAGGGATCTAAAGCCTGGAAAGTGTTTAGCTGATCTATTTTGCTCTATTTTCATGAGCAACAAAAGGTGAGGAGGCAGAACACTGATGGTTTTACTTTCAGATTTCAATATTTTTAATTGACAAATTGCGCACTCTCATGTGTACAATGGAATGGGCGCATACAGCACAGAATGAGCTTCAGGTTACTCATCCTGCATCACCGCTCTCCTATTTTGCATGGTAAAAGACAGCTCATGCTGCTGCTTTGGCTGATCACTTCTCTCCCTTTACAGGGATTTCTTTCCAAAGGCTTGTTAAAGCTGAGCAAGGATTACCTCGAAAAGGCTGTGAGAATTCTACCGTGTAAGTATTAAACGCCCACAATGGATTTCTGTACATTTTTAGAGCAGCTTTCCTCAGGATGACTTGGACTACAATGCGCATCGCCTTTAGCATAACATTTCTGTAGGACACAAGCTTAAAAAAGCCTATCCTTAGGGAAAGAAGGTTTGTTTCTCTGGTGGGTTATTAAGAGATTTGGGTCCTTGCTGCTCTCTGACTCTGGGGGTTTGCTTGCAAACAATTCATTGGTAACATCACTAAGGACTCCACACTTCAACCCTGAGCTCCATATTCTCTTCTATTAACAGTTTGCTTCTTTTCCTGTCTTCTTCCCCCAGAACAGTCCTGTTGCTGAACCCTTCAGAGGTTGATGGGGAATTCCTGTCAGTTGCCGAAAAGCTAAGCGCTGCAGACTACTCCCAGCATACATTACTAGTGACACTCCTGGAGCACACATACCAAGCTAACTTTGGGACTAGATGCAACCTGGCAAAATTACAACAAATCCTGAAGGTAAAGAAAGTCCTCTGGCCTAGGCCTCGGTTTATTTATTCATGTTACTATTAATAATAGAAATATAGGTACGTGTATTTCAAATACATCAATAAATAAAATGATTTTCAGTTAGGTTTTAGGCTAGGACTTAGTATGGAGATAGCTTTGGTAACTTGTCAATGACTTGTAGTGGAGCTAGGGTGTGGGTGATGTAACCACTGTACCACCATGGCTCTTGGGAATGGGAAGCACAATATTGCAAATGCCTCCTTACTCCACGGTCAGTGTGGATGGCGGAAAGAGGTCATATTCAACACTGCTGCTGAAATTGCTGCTGGAATTGGGTATGTCTAGTTTAATGAAGAGAAGGACGAGGGGGGACATGATAGCAGTGTTCCAATATCTCAGGGGCTGCCACAAAGAAGAGGGAGTCAAGCTATTTTCCAAGGCGCCTGAAGGCAGGACAAGAAGCAACGGATGGAAACTAATCAAGGAGAGAAGCAACCTAGAACTAAGGAGAAACTTCCTG